AATTGTATAGATAGTGATACTAGAATTTGAGAGAAAAAAATAACACTACATACAATATTCTTAGGTAGAAAATACTGAGTTTGTTAGAGCAAATAGAGACACATCAACACACTAACAACCTTTTAACCCTATCCGTACGTTGTGTTTTACTGTCATATCCATACAACATGGGAACTCTGTACCACCACTTTCCAAAGAGGAAATTTGCTTGTTAATCTGATCCGTCCGCTTGATAAGCAGTCTGTCAAATTGATTTTTTGAGAAAGTTTTACTGAAAGTTTCGAAGAGATCTTCATACTCGTACTAGAAGTATTCTAAAATGTGAAGAATACAACCCCGGGGGTACAAAATGACCCCAGGGCATACGGATAGGGATAAGGGGAAAACAACGATATCTAATAAGTAGAATTGTTTTTTAGAACACGACTTTTTTTGGGGGGGGGAGGGGGGCACTTTTCTGAAAATCAATGTTCTCACACATACACTGCTACAGTCGGATATCCACGAAACGGAATTTCTGATTGTTACCGATTAATTGCTCCCTTCGCTGCGCTGCTCCCCTTAAACAAAAAACGTTGATGTGAGAGACGACAGTACACACTTCACAGACCTCTCTCAAAATCTAAATCAGCTTGTTGACATTGGGCCTCTTCCTCGCGAGCTTTTGAGTCACATGTACATGATTGGTCCCTTATCCAGAAGGACCTGGTTGTCATTATATGACGTCACTTGTACATGCAGCCAGCGTACGGAGATGTTATACATACACATACGTTATACGTATACGCGCATATTCAGGTCAGTGTTACGGTCTTTGACGGGAGCTCGACCTGCTCGAAATGACAATCCAAACAGCGGAAATAGCACCGAAACAACACAATTTTGATTACTGGAAACATTCTACTTTTGAATCCGTCATCGAAAAAAAATGATAAGAAAACAAAAAAAAAACTATAATAAAGCATTCAATTGAAACGAGCCCTATACCTCTATCGACCTTTGGATTCTATATCAATCTTTAATTTAAATTAAAATCTTTTGTAGTAAAAGCTTTACTATGCAATAGCTTTCTACAACATTATTGTTTATGATTTACGGCTCTGAGTGTGATACAAATGTTACCTTGAACCCCAGCCGATTACATCGGCCTGTTTGGTATTGCTTCACCTGGGAAGATTTCCTGTCACTGGTCTCATGGCGATGGTCAATCTGCTTATGACTAAATGAGTTAAAAATAATTGTACTTTGATGTCCCAGTACAAGTAACCACCGCATGTTGCTGGGATCTGTGGCTAAATTTAGCAGCCTCACTCAGCATCTTCAGGTTAAACAGCTTTCAAATAGTGATCGTAAACGTTTGACATTAACGTACAGAAAAGTGGGCAGACAAAGAATAACATCAACAAGACTAACCCAGAATAGGGAAAGGTGGAAAGTGTTTGATTGTGGCCTTTACCCGGATCCAGGGTGAAAAAGGCAATGATGATGATAAAATGTTATAAACCATTAATTTTAAGAGGCGGGATACTCGGCCTCTCTTTAAACAGGGTCAACACAGACTGAATGGGATACAAACCCGCAGAAGAGACACAGATAAAATCGATAAAATATCTTCCCCGTACGAGAAACGCAGTCAGAATTGGCGAGGTCTAACCTTTCAACATAGTCTGGCAGCTTCTTTTCCTTTGTTATTACAGAGAAAAATACAGTCACCAGCACAACTTTGCGGAATGGACGCACAGAGGGAGGCAGAGGATACGTTATTCTTTGCATACTTAATATCTGTCTATCTATCTATCTATCTATCTATCTATCTATCTATCTATCTATCTATCTATCTGTTTATCTGTCGCACTGACACTCCTGAACGTCCTAACTAGGAAAACTGGAAGGTGGTGATGTGGACGTGACGGCCACAGTTATAGTTTTGGTATGATCTAGAACTCTGGCCGTTTCCGACCCAGCCCTCTTCAACTTTTAACTATGGTCCTGATTCAGGTGCTCGATGTTTTCTCAAGCATGATGAAAGTATCAACCATAGAAAAATTAAGTTATCAGTTACTTCCTTTATCCTAGAGCTAGACGGTTTAGATACACTTATAGGATATCTTGTGCTATCCATTGTGTTAACTGGTTATAGATACGAATAATGATGATAGATCAACTTTATTCGTCTGCCGAGTCAATACAGTCTCATGCTTAAATCAGTTTCGACTTGTATCATGTATTTCATTGTTGAGTCACTAGGGTATTACAATAGTATAACGATATGGTTATAGTAAATACGAGTATGTGCGCATGGACTTAATAATATGCACGAACACATGCATGCATGCATGCACACTCATACACAAACACACTCACACACACACACACACACACACACACACACATACACACACACACACACACACACACACACTCCCCCCCACACACACAGACACACACACAAGCAACATGCACCCACATTCACAATTCAGCACCTATCCCCCTCCCTCTTTTCCACACACACACACACACACACACACACACACACACACACACACTCTCTCTCTCTCTCTCTCTCTCTCTCTCTCTCTCTCTCTCTCTCTCTCTCTCTCACACACACACACACACACACACACACACACACACACACACACACACACAACAAACACACTTATGTACACAGATGTACAAACACAAATAGCCGAATTAGATAAACATCCACAATGTGAATTAAAGCAAAGAAATCTCTCTTTATCCGAACTTACATCTAAATTATTTAACAAGAAGGGTCAATGCGTGCCGTGACACACATACTATATTTTATCAACCAATGACGGCTGTGGTCCTTCTCATGTTAAAACGTTACAAAACGACACGAGAGAAAACTTTAGGCACAGAACATAATTATTTTACTTCGCCAGGGGCTAATGACGTAGATTGACTCTGGACCAATGAGTTTCTAATCCGTTCGACCGACGGAGTTTTGCCTTTTCCCGACCCCAGAGAGTCACCTGTGGGTTTGTGGCCCATCATAATTTGTGGAAAATGTCGTGGGGTTAGGAAGGAAGTTTTTTCAACTGGGAAGTAAGTGAACATGTGAAAAATAAGGACAATTAATTTCTTTGCATCTTAGGGTTATCTTTTTTTTTCAAATCAATAGTTTATAGTTCGAATACCTGCATTCCCTATATTACGTTGAAAAATATGTGCTATTACAATAACATAAAGTGTGTTTATAAAATAATATTAGTGTGTTAATACACTAAATACTTGTGTTAATATGGTGCTATCCATCTGATAATACATAATTATTTGTGTGTTAATACAATACTATCTTATTATCATATCTTAATACACTGATTCATATGTGCTTGTACAATATCATCATTATAAAGTGCTATACCTGAAGTAGTCTGGGATTTAATGATGTAAAAAAACAAACAACCCCAACCCACACAAACTAAAAAAACAACAACCCCAAAAACAACAATACAAAATAAGCAAATAAAAAATCCTAAACAAAATAACCAGCCGACCAGACAAACAGACAAACAAACAAACAAATAAAGCTACATTATCCTGGTGTTCTCCCGTCACTCATCTGTTGAGGTTCTCCAAGTAGCTTGCTGTGGTTTATACATTGTTTGTTTGCCTTCTGTTTTTCCAGTGAGGGCATGATGTTCAAAGCCTTTATACACGTGTTTTCACAATAATTTACGTGTGTTGGTGTAGTCATACTCAAAGCTAATGCAAAAATATAATAATATACCTGTTTTATTACGACAATACAAGTAATAATTTACTTTATACTGATAACATAACACTACACTATTTAAGACATGCTCTTCAGTTTATAGTTTCAAGTCATCAGTCTTTCTATGTAGCCACATGCAAGCGGTCTATTTAGTTATAATAAATATTACATAGTTTTAATTGAAAATAAACCATTTTCACGTTGAATCCAGTACACATGTATGTTGCGTTGAAGAAATATAGCCGCTGTTGTTCTGAATAGCCAAAACTCTTCAACTCAGGTCAATGCAAAGACATGAGTTCATATAATATATAGCAGGTGGTGGTGGTGGTGGTGGTGGTGGTGGTGTGTGTGTGTGTGTGAGTGTGTGTGTGTGTGTGTGTGTGTGTGTGTGTGTGTGTGTGTGTGTGTGTGTGTAGCAGGTAATAAATTCCGCGTATGTATGCATTGATTCAATGATGAGCACATAACACTGTCCTATGTTTGTGTCCAGTTGGCATTGAGTGACAGGGCTGGTCGTTAGCTCAGAGCTGGTATCCTTCAAAGCTATTTGGCAAGTTGCCCAAGTTCGTTTCCCCAACGAGGTGATTTTGAACTTGAGTTGTTTGGGGAATTTACACAGATTTTGAGATGGTATCTTGCAGGTCTATTGGGCAGACACCATAGTTCGAATCCCCAAATAGGCGATATTGAACTTAAGTTGTTTGGGGAGTGTATAAGGATCTCTACCCATTCAGCTCGGTACTATCGGATCGGAGATGGCCTTAGAATTTGAAGCCCACAACCCCGTCCCACCTGTCTCTTAAACGACCTTTGAGTGTTAAGGGGGGGGGGGGGGGCTACACTTGAAGGCTATCTCGCTTATTACAGAACCAGACTTTACCAAATTTCACATATATAACAAGCATAGTAATGAGTCTTAAAATCCGCAATCAAATTTGAGAAAAAAGTTTCGCTTCCATGGATACGGCGGCCATATTGGATTTTGTTGACATCTCCTACGTAATGAATATCGCACTTATTGCTCATGGAAATTCTTTTTATTTTTTGCATGCGTGTTCACAAACATTATATCTAAAAATTTATCAGTTGTTTTTTTCCTAAACGAGTTAGAAAATTTTTTATGAATTTTTTCCTCAGGTAGCATTCATGTTTGCAAAAAAATCCGTGAAAATCCACACTCCAGACATCACCAACAAAAATTTCTTCCATATATCAAAAATTCAACAAAGAAATTTTTAGTATTGCATTTCCTCTTCATTCTGTGAAAATTTCGTGAAGATTGGATGAAAAATGGTGGAGTTATTTTAAAAAAGTATAGAGAAAAGTCGCGTTTTGAGAAAACGGCCGAAAAGAAAACTAACATATTATTATTGACTTTATGAGGAAACGGTGGTGACGAACATGCCCGGTATGGGAAAAATACGGTTTTGGGGGGTTCTTATGCAATGAAATAGTTGTAGGAGAGGCTGAGGAAGCTAAACAGGCCTACAACTCAAATTCCATAATTTTGAGCCGAATCGGGACTTTAGGGGTGTAGCCCCCCCCCCCCCCCCCCCCCCACTCTTTAAATGAGACATCAAACTCACACAATTACCTTTTTCCCCAGAGTGATGTGCCTACAAAATGCTGCCGGATGACTTGTGACGTAAGAGGCCAGACGTGAACTCAAGAACATGCAATGCACATGTGTTAAAGACTCACCCCTTCGTTTTTGTACATATTTCCTTATTATACTTACAAGTGAGTATTCATTGCATATTCATGCTGGACCAAGACATTATCGGACTGTCAAATCTGGACATGTTTTAAAAACAAACATTGAAAGAAAAATAACAATTTAACTATACTA